CCCTCAGTGTTTTAAAAATGGCTGAGTCAGCAAAACAGGTCAGGAGACAACAACACCACACAACCCCCGATAAATGGAACTGAGGGGATTTGGAAGGATAAAACCAGGGAAAAGTGAGCAGTGAAGAGGGTTTTGAAGAGGAAATTTTACTAGTAATTCAGTGGTGATTGCTAAAGCAGATACTAAGTGTACTAGGGAAAGGAAAAGAGAAATAAATATTATTGTATATGAGTAAAAGAGCGAAGAGTGAAAATGGCAGGCATTAGGGGGGTACAGGCTGCCATAATTATATTTATATTTCTTCTTCAATTCCATGAAGAAAGTAATCAGTCATGGGGGCTGGAAAAGATGAATGGAGTAACAGCGCCCTGGACAGTAAAAGCCCAACAGTTGCCATCCTACCAGAAAAGTAAATGTCACTATCGCCGCAAGGTATGGCAACACCGCATACCTAAACAAAAACAGTGGCACACAGCTCTTATTGTAGCGCTCTTAAGTGGTGATATCCAAATTAATCCAGGACCTCAAACTATTGTGCAGAGGCAAAACAGACAGATAAATGACGGCAATAATGACCGTCTAGTAGCTAGGAATGATAACCTTAACTCCATATGTAATGCATACATAGGTCAATGTGAGACAATACAGCCATTATTATCTCAAACACTACCAAACAGGTGCATACACTGTACTAAAGTACGCATGAAAAACAGAAAAGGCACCTTATGTAAAATGTGTAAGGGGTGGGTGCATGATGGATGTATTACAATATATAGCAACGGTGCCAGAATTCATTTTGTGTGTAACAAATGCACTTTGGCACAGTTACCCTTTAGCAGTGATGACATTGATTACCTAATTTTAATACAAATGACCATTGCCATATATTGAGATTATGATGTTTTATGAAAACAGGCCTTCACTTTATTCATGTCAATGCAAGATCACTTCTTCCTAAAATTGGCAGAGATTAGGATTCTAGCTAACAAAATTAGGGCGGCAGTTATAACCATCTCTGAATCTTGTTGGATGATACGGTGACTGACGACGAGGTCAAAATAGATGGTTACAATATAAAACGCTTAGATAGGAACAGAAGGGTGGTGGAGTATGTGCCTACATTAGAAATGACTTAGCTTACAACCCAAGACCTGATTTAAATAACAATAAACTGGAGATTCTATGGTTTGAAGTGCTGCTTCCTAAGACCAAACCCATCTTAGTAGGAACTAGTTACCGCCCTCCTACCCAGGACCAGTTCTTAGAAGACTTTTCCAGAGTCTTGTCCGGAGTTGAAAACAATTGCGAGACAATAATACTGGGCGACTTTATATCTGTTTTCAGCAGCAAAATAACGGGCTATGCAAATGGTATAAGCAAATTCTAGGATTAAATAGTTACACTCAACTAATTAATACTCCAACCCGGATCACACAGTTCTCAGCCACCCTAATTGACCACATACTTTGTAACCGCTCTGAGAACATTAGTCAGTCAGGCGTCCTTACCACAGGTCTTAGTGATCATTTCATCATTTACTGCACCAGGAAAATAACTAGGGATAGGATAGGCCTACACAGGACAATAAAAATGAGGTCAACTAGAAACTACAGTAAAGAAACACTGGTAAATAGGCTACACAATTGTGACTGGACAGAGATAACAAGTTGCACGGACGTAAACGATGCCTGGGAAAAATTCAAAACAATGTTCACTACCATCCTTGATAATATTGCACCAGTTAAAGAGGTTAGGATTAAACGAAGAACTGAACCCTGGATGAATACTGAGATACATATTAGATAATATGAAATTCAGAGACCAGCTGCTAAAAAGATTTAAAGCAAACAGACAGGATATTGCAGCACTAAATGAATTCCAAAGGGTGAGGAACAGAGTACAGAGACTTATAAAAGGAGCAAAGGCAAAGCACTACTGCTCAAAAATTGAAGAGTATAAGCATAACCCCAGAAAGCTCTGGCAACAACTAAAACAGTTGGGGTATAGCCATAAGCCAGTAGATAGGTCTAACATAGTACTCACTATCGATAATGAGGTATGCCACGAAACATCTAAGGTGGCAAATTGCTTTAATTCCTACTACACATCTGTTGCATCAACACTAGTAAGTAAACTACCAGCTGCATCAAATACCTTTAACACAGACTCTGATAAGTTTCAAACATACTATACCAATAAAGGGGTAACCCCAAACAGTTGTCAACTAGTAAGTGTATCTCATGACTTTATTCAAAAAGAACTAAGCAGGTTAAACCCAACTAAGAGCACAGGCCCTGATAACATCCCGTCTAAGTTCCTAAAAGATGGTGCTTCTGACTGTCAATCCCTATTGCTCACATAATAAATCTATCAATCACCACTAATACAGTACCGGAGGGGTTCAAGGAGGCCAGAGTCACTCCTATCTTCAAGAAAAATAGTAGTCTGAGTAAGCAACTATAGGCCTGTTAGTATACTCAGTATAATATCTAAAATTCTAGAGAGGGCGGTGTATTCTCAAGTAGTTAAGTACCTTAATGACAACAACATTCTCCATAGCTATCAATCGGGCTTTAGAAGATCCTACTCAACCGACACGTCCCTTATTAATCTGATGGATTACCTAAGAACTGAAATGTCAAAGGGGAACCTCATAGGCATGTAACCTTAGACCTGCAAAAGGCCTTCGATACTGTCAACCACAATATATTATGTAATAAACTTCAAGCTATTGGTATAGGTTCTGTAGACTGGTTTAAGTCCTACCTTAGCAACAGGAGACACAATAGTCAAATCAACAAAACAGAATCAGAACCCCTGCCGATAACATGTGGAGTTCCCCAAGGTAGTATTCGGGTCCCTTATTATTCTTATGTTATGTCAATGATATGCCTATCAGTGTCAAGTGCAAACTCCTACTGTATGCAGATGACAGTGCTCTGTTAGTGTCAGGTAAAGACCCACAAGATATTGCTAATGTTTTAACACTGGAACTGGAGTCCTGCAGCAAATGGTTAGTAGACAACAAACTATCATTACACCTAGGGAAAAACTGAAGCCATACTCTTTGGCACGAAACATAAACTGAGAAGGGTAAATAATTTTAATGTTCAATGTAATGGGGAGCACATCACTTTGGTTTCATCAGTAAAATATTTGGGAATCCCCTTTGACCCATGCATGTCAGGAGAATTGATAGGGAACAGTGTAGTAAAGAAAGCGAATGCAAACTGAAGTTCCTGTACAGACAGCACAGTGTCTACCTACTGAGGCTCGCAGGACCCTATGTCTAGCCCTTATACAATGCCATATGGATTACGCTTGCTCTTCTTGGTACTCTGCCTTGACAAAAAAACTGAAAGATAGACTGCAAATCACCCAGAACAAAATCGTAAGATTCATCCTGGGGCTGGGACCAAGAGAACATGTAGGCCAGGAAGAATTACAGCAGTTGGATATGCTGAATGTTGAAGACAGAGTAAAACAACTGAAGCTAAATCATGTTTATAAAATTGCTCACAAACAATGTCCAGAATATCTTGCTGTCAATTTTGTCAAGGTTGGGAACCAAAGCAATCATAGTAGGGGAGAGAGCACAACTTTGTAGTACCCACAGTCAGTGGCCAGGCTTCAAACACCTTTTATTGTACAGCAATAAAGGAATGGAACAGACTACCCGCACATGTCAAAGCCAGTCATAGCGTGAAACCAGTTCAAGAAGAGTGCCAAAAGGTGTCTGATGAATGTAGCTACAGAAAGGGAGGGGAATGATTTTCTATTTTTTAGCTAACATACGTGTAAATTTTACCTTATTCCTTGTAATGACCCTCGTATTGTAGATAGTCTTAATGACCTTGGTGTAGCAGATAGTCTTTTTAGTATGATAATAAGATGTTATCTTCATTGTAGAATAATAAGAAAATATTATAACCTTTATACTATAATAATAAGGTAAAAGGACCCCAATGGAAATAAGTCACTCTGTCTGACTTTTTTGGGTTATCCTAGGTTCTCTACACATATGCTGCTATGTATGATAATTCTATGTAACTGTATTTGTGTATACCTGAATAAACTTACTTACTTACTTACTTACTTATATATATATATATATATATATATATAATATATATATATAATATATATGTCGTGCCGAATATGTAAAACTGGTCAATTAGCAAGAACTCATTTAAAATTAAGTCCTTTCTGAAATTTTCTCTTATACGCTTAAAGATATATTTTTTTCATTAATGTTAATATAATTTTTTTTAATTTTGCACCAAAAGAATCTTATAAAACTTACCTAACCTTATAATAACAAGACAAATTTATTTTAGCCTAACCCAACTAAATATATTTTAGATTTGTTTACAGTAATTTAATACTACTAAACAAACACAGTGAAATACATTTTTTTCGTTAGGTTCAGAATGATTTTGGCGAAATTATTGCATACACAAATTTTCGCTTGTCCTATATGGCAAGATGAGCGTTGCTATTTAAGCCAAGATCGCAAGTTCTGCCTATTCGGCACGATATATATATAATATATATATATATATATATATATATATATATATATATATATAATATATATATATATATATATATAATCTAGGTGTGTGTGCACACTCAGAGGATTATTTAATCCTTGTAGGGATTAAATGCTTATTATGTTAGTACACTGAAGAAGTGTGTTCTTAATCACCCTCCTGCAGCAGAAAGACCTTAAACAAAACATTGTAATAAATAGGAGTGACTTTGTATATATTCAGAGAGGTGTAGCTCACCTCAAGGGGGATGCACCGAGAGCAACTATGTATATTCACTGACTGTTTTATACCTCAATTTACTGTATATATACTCAGAGCTTAATTGAATCCCTGTAAGAAGTATCTTTGACTGGTCAGGTGCCATACAGTCTTAATGATCTCGTATGGTCGATAGGTTTCACACCTAATAAACGATAATCAGGTAAGATCGCGTGTGTTTATCTGCAGTTTACCTAGATGTGGAACCCTCTGTGAGCACCTCCATCAGTTTCACCTTCACGACGAACTCCTCCGTCTCCTACGCCCGCAGGTGGAAGATCAGGGTGTCCCAGATCAGCTGCGGTCAGTTCTCACTAGGTAAGCGTTTATACAGTATAATAATAGTTGATTGCATCACACTGTATGTCTAACCTGATCCTTTATGACGTTTAACAGGGTTAAAGTGAGATCTATACACCCCTAACATTCTCAACACACCACAAATTTTTCAGATCATAAGCGCAGGATGGAGCTCAGAGCCACATTTCAGTACAAATTTCTGCTGTCTTACACGGGATGGGTTTTCAGGTTATATTTCATAACACAGGAGAGTTTTCAAGTCATTTTCTACTTTTTTTTTTCACCTGTATGAAGAAACTCTTAGTAGTGGTGCCATTTCGGTATACATTCCTTAGTTTACGAATTTCGATTACTGTTCCTATTGTTCATTATTTTTCTGTATGTGATAACTATCAGCCTGGCTGGTCGGAGATCGTGTATCAATTATCGGATGGAGGATCGAGTCTTCATCACCCCTTGAGTTGTGTGTGTGTGTGTGTGTGTGTGTGTGTGTGTGAGTGTGTGTGTGTGTGTGTGTGTCTAGTGTGTAAGAGGGAGAATGTGTATGTGTGCGAGGGGTGGTATATGTGTGTGTGTGTTGGGAGGGCTGGTATGTGTGTGTGTGGTGTGTGTGGTGTGTGTGTGTGTGTGTGTGTGTGTCTAGTGTGTAAGAGGGAGTATGTGTATGTGTGAGAAGAGTGGTATACGTATGTGTGTGTGTGGGAGGGCTGATATGTGTGTGTGGGTGGGGGTGTACTCACCAATATGTGGTTGTAGGGGTGTGTAAGTTACTCAGCATCGCAATTATTCCTTCAGCTCCCTCAGGATGCGGTCAGTACTTCACCACTTCTTCTGGGACCATCAAAGGATGGAACCATGACGGGCTCTACCTCTCGGGCCAGAATTACGCCATCTGTGTTAGGAAGGAACTCAACAGCTGCTCGGTTAGTCCTTATTGAAATCTTTTATCATTATCGCTATTATCATCCTTTCATTATCATTAACATTCAGCACCACCTCTCTAACTACTACAATCATCACCACCTACAACAGTCACTGTCACCACCAGCCTGGTTGATCAGGCTCTGATCCACTGCGAGGCCTGGTCACAGAAAACTACTACCCCCAACTAACCACTACCACCATCACAACCACAAGTAACCACCATCACCACCACAAGTAACCACCATCACCACCACAACTAACCACTACCACCACCACAATCACAAGTAACCACCACCACCATAGCTAACCACTACTACCACCACCACCACAACTAACCACTTCCACCATCACCCACAGACGACCTACGTGGACAATCAGAACATTATGTTCATTCCTGCGTGCGGTGACACCTTCGAGTGGCCTTATCCAGTCTTCATATCACCTGACATGTCAGTCACCTGCTTCAGCAACCCCACCTTCATAAATTCGGTGGGTGTTTTAGTTAACTGAGTGTTTGTAATGGCCCATCTGACACTCTGACAGGAGTGCCTTGATGCTAGTAAATGATTCCTGATTCAAGGAACTGAAGCTCTTCTCTCCCTTCATCAGATCAGATCTGAATAACTTTCGCGTAACATCGCCGGAGTAGTACATATATAATTTTTGTCGCTATTGTATTTCTCGGGTGTAATAATTCTTTTTTTCAGGTTCATAAAAATTCATACAACATTCGGGAATGGGAAATAGATTTCATCCAAGGAAGATGAGGAGCAGATCCTCAAATCCTTTGATTAAAAACGATTTTCTTACATCAAGGCAATCCCATGAAGGATTCACTACCAATAACTGCTCTTTATGAGACCGAATTTAGAGTAGCCGTTTGTCTTTCCAGTTTGTCTAGGACATTTTTCAGGTTGTGTATATGAGTGTGTGTGTAGTTTTAAGAAGGACCTACTTTGTATGGACCAGTAAGCCTGCGGCAGTGTTCCTCCATTCTTATCTTCTTGTGTGTGCGTGATTTTGAGAAGGATCTGCTTTGTATGGGCCAATAGGCCCATTGCAATGTTCCTCAGTTCTTGTGTGTGTGTGTGTGTGTGTGTGTGTTGTGTGTGTGTGTGTGTGTGTGTATTAAACACGTTAACCGCTTTTGCATTTTCCCCTCGCTGTTTCTCCTCCAGGCACCGTTTACTGTGCCTCTCCAAGGACCGAATTACATATACCTGGTTACGAAGGATACAACCAACAGTCACATCTACTCCTCCAACATCAACTATAATTATACACAAAACAGCTGCTAATGAAGAAAGAAGTAATGATCATCTGATGATTACTGGAAAATCAAGAATAAAAGTCACAACAGCATGGCTTAAACGGTGCACAACTAACACATTAATTAACATTGATTTTATAAAGCTCTATTCAGAGCTAAACCTCCCACAATACATGTTTGTAGACCATTCTGCTCGTAATTATGAGAGCATTGGGACCAGAAGGACCCCAAATTAAAATTTGGCCACATGGGTATAGGCTCCATTTATCGTGATAGTTTACTTCAATACCTGTTTTCGGAAAAAAAAAAATGGTTGTACATGTAAAAACAATCGTCCTCAATATTTCCATTAGGGACCTTATATGTCCTCTTTTCTAATACTATACGACCCACGACAGCAAACAAATTCCTTGGTATAAATTTACTGCTAGGTGAACAGAGGCAGCAGGTGTGAGATCGTTTCTAGACCCAAGTCCTGCCAGCTGTGACCCGATAAAGATGATTTTAGATGAACAGTGACGTTCATCCTTATATTTTAACAAGGTATGCTTGTCAAAAGTTTAAGTGGTAATGCATTATTTACAGTAGGCATAGGGTATTTTCCCATAATTGTGGTAATATGCCACTGTGGATAAAATATTCTTAAGACTTACCACAACAGCTAATAATAGCCATCTTCTCTGCAATGGAAGGAGAGAGAGAATCTTTCGTGGTTTGAAATCTAAGAATATCTGAAACGAACTAACTGGCTGTCACATTGACCGCTATACTTAAGGAAGTTAAAGATTTTCTCTTGCCAAATCTTCACATCTATGCAGTAATTTACAGGCTTCACTTGCGCAGATATGCACGCAGTGTAACGCACATTTAAGCACGAAAAACTCGAAGCAATCTTGCCGAAATCGACTGTAACAGAATTATGGAACCCATCATTGCTCTACATTTATCTGTACCTATCGTATCTGTAATAGGAACATCATAAATTTTAAATGATTTCAATATTCCTTCATACAAGTTATTACCAATGGCGCCTTTCCCAACAACATTATATATTTCCCAAACTTACCTGTTTCACTATCGATAATTCTCACTGCTACACACAATTTACAAGAGATCCTACATCTATTGAATAATCACAGGGTACATTGAATTTTATGAACTATCTCTTCCCTTACGCCAGTGACATAATATTTAGAATATGTCGGCAGGAAGTAGCATACGAAATTATCATTCACAATTTCATAAAATCAATATTAATTTCGTTTTCAAACAATTTTATTGTACTTATGCCTGAAACCGTATTGCATATAAAACAATTTTTTTCTGGACCTGGAACCCGAAATTATCAGTACCATCCGTACGATAATAGTTAAAGGTATCTATCGTATGTCATACGAAAGGCAAAAATTATCGTACAAATAGGGTAATTATCGTACGAATGGCAACCCTGGTTCAACAGAACATCATAAGGAACCTGGTTTGGTATGTTCCATTTTCTGTAATGGTGATGAGAGAGAACGTAAGCCAAGAGTTCTATGGGTAACTCTCCCTTCCAGTGAGGTGCCTTGATCCAAAGAATTGATATTACCTCCCTCTTTCATGCATCAAACCTGGTTACCTCGTATTCACAAGGAGCTGTGTTACCCTCGCGGGTGTACCGCTTCTCCATGAATGTAAAATAAAAATAATTTAAAAATAATTAAAATTGGGGACCCATTATTATTATTATAATCAAAATTAAGCGCTAAACCACCAGGGTTATACAGCGCTAAACAGGAATGTTTATTTAGGCATTGGATAAATAACATAAAATATAGATATAGATAAGATTTTGTTCTGATTTTTAACCACGGAGGGTTAGCCACCAGGGTAACCCAAGCAAGGAAGTGTGTCATCGAGGGACTACCTGTTTTATTTCCACTGTGGTCCTCAATCTTGTCCTCCCACACTGCGACTCGCACTACTCGACTAACACCCAGGTACGTACCTACTTGCTAGACGAACGGGGACAGTAGGTCTACTTGGAGTCTACCTAGAGGTTATTCCGGGGATCAACGCCCCCGAGGCCCGGTCCACGACCAGGCCTCCTTGTGGATCAGGGCCTGATCAACCAGGCTGTAAGGAAATACGCCCAATGTTTCCACCCTTTTTCATTGGTGATAAGGGAACACGGATGATATTGTTGCTCTCATATATATTACACTATACAGGTTGACTCGACAAATTCAGTGTCAAAGAAAATAAAAAGAATGACTTGTTTAGGCTATTCAGGTAATTCACACATATATTACCATTTATGGCAATTGTAATTACCCAAAACTTATTTAATTGTACATATGTGTAATTGTACATAAAAAACCCTACTTCCTTATGAAGTCAAACATTGTGACTTGCTTCCTACTTAATTGGATTGTCTCTCCCCCCCCCCATCTCATCTGCGACTGCTTGGCAGTAGAGAACAGAGCAAAACGCCTCATCTCTCCCCTGGATCAAGCCTGGATAGATTTGTCATTTCAGCAGAGCCTTCAACACCGCAGGGATGTGGGTGGCCTTATTGTTATGTACAAGGCCAATGGCCTTATTGTTATGTACAAGGCCAATGGCCTTATTGTTATGTACAAGGCCAATGGCCTTATTGTTATGTACAAGGCCAATACCGTCAGAGTAATTGTATTTAAGTGTACCTGTACCTGAATAAAAACTTACTGACCCTCCGGGGTTAAAAATCCGAGCAAAATCTTGTCTTAATCAAGGAACAATCCTAGAAATCTCTCGCAAGAATCAGAAGCTCTTGAATCTAACCATAATTTACTATATGAAACCATATGGTTTCATAAATAAAACAAAACATGGCTAACATTTTGTCTAATACAGTACTAAGTAAATATATTTTGGTACAGGTACACAAGTACAATTATCATACAGTGTAAATTACCTAGGATAACCCTAAAAATTAGACAAAGTGACTTATTTCCACTGAGGGTGGTTTAGCGCTTAGTTTTGATATAATCATATTTTTTCCATTGGGAATCTTGGATCATAGTAAATTGCCCCCTATTCCTATATGTTGTAAGATCCTTAGCTCCCACTTCACACACGGAGGTCCCGGGTTCGATTCCCGGCGGGTAGAAACGTTTCTTTACACCTGTTGTCCTGTTCACCTAGCAGCAAATAGGTACCTGGGTGTTAGTCGACTGGTGTGGGTCGCATCCTGGGGGACAAGATTGAGGACCCCAATGGAAATAAGTTAGACAGTCCTCGATGACGCTCTGACTTCCTTGGGTTATCCTGGGTGGCTAACCCTCCGAGGTTAAAAATCCGAACGAAATCTTATCTTAACCCTCAATAATAAACCATATTATGGTTCCTCTGCCTCAGCTGCAAGATTAAAATGAATAATTCCAGCAGTTTTCTTTCATAAGGATACCATCACAGAAGATGGTTGATAATTTCACTCCATAATGTCTAGCATATGTAAGACTTCACCTCAACACACATGCTTCTAAATGAGCGATTAACATATACATGTACAACCATAGTTCAATAAACGACAACAATACATATATGCTTACATATTGGGCGAGAGGAGAGGATCTACATAAAAGGGTGTTTGTTTGAGTGTCACTTTTCTCAGGCTGACTAATTTATTTTCGTTTTGTATTTTACACTCCTGTGTGATGGGTGTTTTAAGTAAACATAGTTCTTACTCTGTATTAAGGCAGACTTAGTGGTATTTTGGTCGTCAGAAAACAGGGCAAGAGTTTCTTGACACGGGTATTTGTAATTGTATGAAGAGCCGTAGTTGGTTAAGCCTCCATTGTCCTATCAGAACTAAACCCCTCAAGGAAGGTTCCTTGATGTTGGTGAGGGGCTCTTGATTTAGGGAATTGGATCTGTGCTCCAGTTCCCCGAATTAAGCCTGAATGCCTTCCACCCCCACCCCCCCAGGCGTTGTATAATCCTCCGGGTTTAGCGCTTCCCCTTTGATTATAATAATAATAATATCAGAACTAAATTTTAAGCCTCGTGTGCAAAACAGAACCTTAACTTTTTTTAGAAAAGGTCACAAAACAAATTCATTTGTAGACGACTATTATAAACGGATTTCTTTCCCATGAAAATAAAATATATAACGGTCATAATTGAAAACAGATTTTATATTTGTTACATTTAAGTACATCATGGCTGGTTTATTGAGTTTAAAAACTTATTCAAACAAAGGTTCATTAAGTCAAGGATACCTGAGTACTTTATATTGTGATTCAAGTAAATTCGTGGTGATATGTACAGTTCAACAAGCATACATGTATTATGTATCTCAGGTGGTACGTACAGAATAATATTTTTCAGCTTTTCGTTGTGTTGTTGGGATTATGCAGCTCTGGGAAAATGGAAGGAAATCAGGAAAAAATCCAGTGATGTTATTGTAGCTCTAATCCTTTGGACCGAAAGCCTTTCATCTGTATTTAACTATCCCTTCTCAGTAGTAGGGATTTTGAGGGGTAATTATAAAGAGGAGCTTATCTGGAGTTTACCTGGAGAGAGTTCCGGGGGTCAACGCCCCCGCGGCCCGGTCTGAGACCAGGCCTCCTGGTGGATCAGAGCCTGATCAGCCAGGCTGTTGCTGCTGGCTGCACGCAAACCAACATACGAGCCACAGCCCGGCTGATCCGGAACTGACTTTAGGTGCTTGTCCAGTGCCAACTTGAAGACTGCCAGGGGTCTGTTGGTAATCCCCCTTATGTGTGCTGGGAGGCAGTTGAACAGTCTCGGGCCCCTGACACTTATTGTATGGTCTCTTAACGTGCTAGTGACACCCCTGCTTTTCATTGGGGGGATGGTGCATCGTCTGCCAAGTCTTTTGCTTTCGTAGTGGGTGATTTTCGTGTGCAAGTTCGGTACTAGTCCCTCTAGGTTTTTCCAGGTGTATATAATCATGAAATCTCTCCCTCCTGCGTTCCAGGGAATACAGGTTTAGGAACCTCAAGCGCTCCAATAATTGAGGTGTTTTATCTCCGTTATTGCGCGCCGTGAAAGTTCTCTGTACATTTTCTAGGTCGGCAATTTCACCTGCTTGAAAGGTGCTGTTAGTGTGCAGCAATATTCCAGCCTAGATAGAACAAGTGACCTGAAGAGTGTCATCATGGCTTGGCCTCCTAGTTTTGAAGGTTCTCATTATCCATCCTGTCATTTTTCTAGCAGATGCGATTGATACAGTGTTATGGTCCTTGAAGGTGAGATCCTCCGACATGATCACTCCCAGGTCTTTGACGTTGGTGTTTCGCTCTATTTTGTGGCCAGAATTTGTTTTGTACTCTGATGAAGATTTAATTTCCTCATGTTTACCATATCTGAGTAATTGAAATTTCTCATCGTTGAACTTCATATTGTTTTCTGCAGCCCACTGAAAGATTTGGTTGATGTCTGCCTGGAGCTTTGCAGTGTCTACAACTAAACAATTCATATAATAATTTTTTTTCATTAAAATGTCAAAATTAATGTGCTATTAATTTTGTTGTTTTTAATACTGTAAATATAATAAAATTTTCTAAAGAAGTTTTTTTAAATTTTAGCACATTTACATAAATTTAAAAAATCTTAATATTTGAATATAAATATAGGTTAATATAAATTAATGCGCATGTGACTTCGACTTTTTAACTGAAACTGAT